GTGTGGGAAAGGGAGTGTGGAGCGCGGGGGGGGGGGGGGGGTGGGTGCTCAAAGTTCTCAGGTCTTCAGGTCATCTGGAATAAGGAAGATGAGTGTATTTATAGATGAAGTTAGTAGGATCTTGGTGGTAGCTTCGGAGGTTCGTACGACGTGCTCTGGCGGACGCCTGCACAAGTAATCCTGATGAAGCAAAGCCTTCTGACACCTTTCTGGAGTTGAAAAGGAGATTAGCCGAAATGGAATGAAGACTTCTAGGAACTTATCAGAGATGGTTTACACAATGTTGACTAAACAGCCGTGAAGTTAGCTCTGACACGAAAGTTACTTTGAATAAAGCTGCTCCAACGGTGAGCGTGCTCTAGACGAAGGCTGCTCCGGGTGAAGCTACTCTGAAGGGTGAGCATGCTCCAAGCGAAGGTTGCTCCGATGGTGAGTTGGGCAAGAAGAAATCCAAAGAAAGGATGCCTAACATGGTTAGGCATACTTGGATATGAAGAGGATGCTCCGGGAAACATGCCTGCCATGGAGGGAGCCTCCATTAGGCATGTCTGGCGCGGGTAGAGCCTCCGTTGGAATCAAAATACTGAGAATCAACCTTGACGAAGAGGAAGAGGTTCCAAGGCGTGGACTTATGAATTTTGGGCTTTCAAAAGGACGGGAGGAAGGCTTTTCTTAAGAATTCTCCATTAATCATTTGTATTTAGGGAGAAAGAGAGAAATAGGCTAAAACTTGAGATGAATTAAAATTAATAGGCCAATAGTTTACATAAGTTAATAAATAGGTTAAATTACTGTTTTCATCCATAACTTGTTTGGTTATGAACCATAACTTGACAAGTTATTATCCATAATTGTCCATAACTTATCTGGCTTTGAACCATAACTTGACAAGTTTGTCCATAACTTATCTGGTTATGAACCATAACTTGACAAGTTATGGCCTATTAATTTCTATAACTAAAAATTGGCCTATATACTTTCTTAAGCTTTTCATATTGACATATTTCCTACTATTTCCCTTGTATTTAATCCAATTAATTCTGAAAATCTCTCAAGTGGGATTCAAATTGGATCGAATTAAACGACAAACATCCCTACTTGATCACGCAAAGCCCACAAAATCACAACCCACAAGAATTTTCCGAGCGTAACTTGAGTCGACGAAGTGAGCCCAATAACGTCGCGTGACGCTATTGTTGGGCCTAGACTCTTAAATGAGCTTGATACAAAATCATATATCAACACACATCAACATTCTTTTTTTTTTTTTTTTTTTGGTAGATGGAAGTTTTTAATTATTTAAGTCATTAGTAAGGCTCAATGTTGCAAAAATTTTATTTACCATAAAAATTATCAAAATCACGTGAGCTTCATACAAGTTAATGTAAATTTATTTACTTCGAAGAAATTAAATTTTAACTTATATAACGTGCATTACCATTTTGGTACTATACGACGTGTTATGAATTTTTTTTTTTTTGTAACTAATAAATATCTTTTCCATTGTGCCATTCCACTTCTTGGTTTATAATTAGGAGGCTTCTCTCGTATGATCAAAGAAAATATATTACTAGTAATTCTTTATTTTTAGTGTCAGATTTGTATTAAAATTTATCTATTATGTATTTTTTCTTTATATGATGTAGTTTTGACTAGATTTAACGGTTAAAAACTGATTCTACCAGTAAGAAATTTTGAGCAATTACTTGATTGATCATAGGAAAGGGTGGTACAAAGAGACTGTTTTTGCGTGTTGACTATGAACATCTTCAATGCAATGCTATAATTAATGTGATAATTGTAAATTCAACATTTGAGTGTAAAAACTCTGCAATGTAATGCTATTCGTTTGTGCCAAATTTGTCATGTATTATACGTTACGGCAAATTTCGCACTAAGTATAACATACGGTAAATTTGACACTTGATTTCTATAGGTTGATATATGGTTGCTTTTTTATTTACTCATTACAACTTTTGATTTTTCAAATTATTTCGAAATTAAAAGTTTATTTTTACAACTTTCAAAAATTAATGCTTATAAATAAAGTATATTTAAACATTTTAAATAGTATTATGTATTGAAATATAAAAAAAAATATCATGTGCTATCATTGGTGTCAAATATATAATTAGCATTAATATTTGTATTTGAGATCGTCTAAAAGCTAAACTATAGGTTACATTGAGGGGCAATTTGGTCATCAAAGAATTTCAACGTGAATTCGGAACTGATATTAGTGATACAGAAAAAGAGATTCTCTTTCATCACGTCACAGATTTTCCCTGAACTCCAAAGTCAAATTTCCACTTGTCATCACAACACTTTCCTTCAGATGCAAGAAGAAATTCATAAATAAGATAATGAAAATTTTCACATCCGAGGGGGGTTTAAAAATAATAATAAAGAATTCGTTTGTCTTTAGTCAGATACTACGACAAAGTCAACTGGTAATTAGGAAATTGGTTTTGGTTTGGACAAAGCCCAATGACGAGGATCTAAAGTTTGCTAAGGAATGGGGGGAAAAAAGAAAGAAAAAGAAAATCACGTATTTTCACTTTACTTTCGACACTAATCTTTC